CAGGCGTTTAGGAAGGCATCTCGGATGTCCAACCACGTGGTTTGGTTTGAGAGGAAGTCAAAGACCGTCTGACCTCTCCCAACTACAGGCCAGTGTTGCTTCCCTGGCTTGTCACTGCTCCAGTGGCCCCCATCATACAATGAGGATGACAATCGTTGTCCTGCCTATATCACAGGGGTTATGGCGCCAAGGCAACTTCTCCAGAGAGCCTTTCCTGACCGTCTCTGAACAGAGGGGAGTCTCTCTTGGCTCCCACAGCCCCCTGTGAGGTTGCTCTGACAAAGCACCTTTCATTCTGCCTTGCACATGCACACTTTTCTCTCTGCCTCCTCTGGGGCGAGCGCCATGATGGCGGGAGTTGAGTGGGCCGTGTGTCAGTGGCCCAGCATTCAGCCCCAGCATAGGGTAGGGACTTGATGCCATCTTCGTCAGACTGAACGGAGCTGAACATGCTCTGAACCCATTGCAAGACACAGACGTCTCCTGGCACACAGTGGTGAGTCCCCCTTCAGTGCATGAGAGGGGAGGCTTTCCACCTGCGTGGCTGCAGATGAGGACCCAGATGGTCACAGTGGGCTGCCTTCATGCCGCTGGTCTCCCAGAGCAGAAGGGAGGAATCCTGGTGCTCGTGGTGGACACTATTCCGAAGTTCTGCTCCTGAGGATTGGTCCAAGGTGCTCTTGTGGCTGGAAGTTTCTTCAACTCAATGGCCATGTGTGTTTTTCTCCCGGGATATCCTATTTTCTGTTATGTTGTTCAGCATACACTGATGTGAGGGGTCAGAGTGCTAAAGAGAAAACATGGTAGCCCGTCCTTACACTGCCACTTGGCTTTGGAATGTATGCAGTTGAAAACACACACACAAGCTGGGTGCAGTGACTCAAGCCTGTAATCCCAGCACTGTGGGAGGCTGAGGTGAGAGGATTGCCTGAGCCCAGGGGTTTGAAACCAGCCTGGACAACTTGACGAGACCTCGTCTCTATGATAGATCAAAAAAATTAGCCGGGCATGGTGGCGTGCACCTGTAGTTCCAGCTACTTGGGAGGCTGAGGCAGAAGGATCACCTGAGCCCAGCAGGTCGAGGCTATGGTGGCTGTGAGCGTGCCACTGCACTCCAGCCTGGGCAACAGAGTGAGACTCTGACTCAAAAAAAAAAAAAAAAAGAAAAGAAAAGAAAAAGGAAAACACACACACACACACACATTCAGTCATCATCGAGCACTTATTCTGTGCCAGGCCCTCTGGGCTGAATACAGGACCCCAAGGTGGTGGGGCCATGATCCTGCCCTCAGGAAGATCACAGTCTAGTGGGAGAGCAGCTCAATCAAAAGGATGATGAGAATGTGAGTGGACATGATCTTCTGGGTGGGGGTGTACCCTGCTTTCCCCTCTGCTCTCAGTATCTCTCTTTCTCCAACCTCCAAGGGGAGTTCTGTCTTTGTCATTCTAGGGCCTTAGGAAAACAGGAGACAGGACCGTAGAACAAGAAATTTCATTTTCTGAAGACCTCAAATCACTCTGTAAAAAAGATACCTGCACACGTATGTTTATCGCAGCGTTGTTCACAATAGCAAGAACCTGGAAACAACCATGCTACCCATCAAAAG